AGTATTCTTTATTAGTAGTATTAGAGACAAATTAATTTTGTAACAACACAAATATGAATAACTATGAGTCTCAAAAACATTAACTTTGTCAATACTGATACTGAGACTGTCTGAGTGACTGTCAATCATCTCATACCTGTACACCAGCAAAGACCTTAACAGGATACCTGCAAAAAACATGGTAACACTGTGCGAAGAGACACTATCCTAAATGTACCAAGATGTTTCAGGTCAAATGATCTGTACTGAGGTCAAACCCACTTTATCACACACCTGCTTACTAGCTGTATGCCTGCAACCCCTGAGCATTCCTAGTGTTAAATACAAATTTTCTCTAAAATATAAAAAGTGAAGATCATGGTCTCTAGAATAGTTAAAGACTCTATCATTTCTTACCTGAATACCTGCAAAAAAATCATGGCGACTCAATAGTTAGGAACACTATTCACACTTACCCAGATAGCTGAAGAGCCAATGGCCTGTCACATGTAAATGGCCCACATCATCACTTACCTGGATATAAATCATGGCCCGTCCAGAATCATCATGAGGTTCACCATGATCTGTAGAGAGGAACCTGGAAAACACATTGTGACAAATGTGTCTATGGATACAACTTTATTACCTGGGCCCTGAAAATAACCTTGTCACTACCACACTGCAGGATTCACTGAATCTACCTGGAGTCTTGCTATACTCCAAGGTCTACTGCTACAGACATCATTATCTCCTCAATTTAAACTTGCATAAAACCTTGGTCACTACTGTGACTCGCAGTTTTATGAGAATTATATGGATTTCTGCAAGTCCTCACTTACCTAGTATTTTAAGATCCAATGACCTGTTCTGTGGTTTCAGCCCCTATCATCACTTACCTATATATAAGCAATGTTCTTCATTAATGAGCATCATTAGGTTAATCTTGACCTCTTGACAGCATCCTGGAAAGATAATACGAAGCATCTATTAAAGGACACAGCTTCTTCTACTAGGACTACTGCCAATAATGTTGGTCACTTCATCATTAGAAGACACATCTATGTACCT